TTTCCTTTCTCTCACTCTTATTTAATAGTTATGTCCTTTCATTGAGGATAATGCATGTTTAAAGTGTGGGGGAGGGAATCATTTATTTTCTTTGTTTTCTTTGCTTTTGTTCGTTGTTTTGTTTTGTTTTTAGTTATTAAAAATGCATCTTTTTGAAAGTTTTGAGTTATAGATTAATATGAGGTTAGTTGTGGAGACTTGACAAAATTTCACAAGATCGGTATCGTCTTAACACTGTAAGTCTCATTCATATGGAAGTTGATTTGAATTTTTATTATGACGTAGCCTTGAATTCTCATCTTTTAATAGCTCTTGAGTAGTTTATTTCAGCAGTCAGCACCATCTCACACTCACTATACGCAGGGAAACCGATGAAAATAAGTGAGTGATTCAAGTTTTATTTGAAAAAAAAAGGAAAGAAAAAGGAATGCGCCTTCTAAGTTTGGTGACCCTCACCCGGTCACTTAACCCAATGGTCATAGAACCTACAAAAAAAAAGTTGATAATAAGACTCGTTGTTAGTTGGTTCAGCGGTTTTTGGTGCTGAACTTGGTAGGACGGATTACGATCCGATCCCCCGCAACTACAACTGAGTAAGCAAAGGGTTATGCCACGTAAGCACCAGAACCCCATGCAAAAAGGATCAGAGTCACTAACTGGTCGCCTTGCTATGAGTGTGTGGAGATAACGGGCTTAATGTGATTGCGCCTGAATGAAAAAGAGCAAAAGAGAGGATGAGTAAGTTAGGCTTTGGCATAATAATATGATTCGAATTGGTTTGCATATTCAAGAGACAAGATTAGTGTTCCTACGATATCCTTAGTGTGCAATATTAGTACCTATTGATGCAATCTTAACCGAAGAAGAGTTTGTAGCCTAGAATGAGTAGCCGATGATGCTGTTGTGTTTCTTTTGATTTTATTTTGCTCGGAGTGCAAAAGTTCAAGTGTGGGGGAATTTGATCAGTGAATTTTGACGCACATTCTTTCATGATTGTACTTATGCATTTCCATGGGTTGTTTAGCTTATTTTTGTATTTTATAGTATTTTTCTATTTTAGTTTATTTCTACTCTTATTTGATTTTCGCACTTTATTTTCAGCATTAACAGTCTGCACGAATAAATTCATAACTTGAGCTACAGAAGTCGGAATGAGACGTGCTACCAGTTGTTGGAAAGATAAAAGAAAGAGATATGATTTTTATTCAGAAGTCAAGAGCTGAATCGAACTGTAGCAGGGCCATAAAATTCGTTGAAGTTGCAATATTTTATATTTAAGTTTTGGGTCATTTGTTTTGGGTCTGGGTTATGTTTTCGACCCAGTTGGGTTATGAAACGAATCCTTGTCCTTGCTATACCTAGCAGCCGCTACAGTAATTTAGTTTTTGACCTTTTCATTATTCAGAAAAAAAACTTTGACTTGTACGCTTGAATGAAGAACTAGTCATCCAAAGTTGATCTACTGTAATCGCGTTCTGATGCTTTGAGGTTTTTAATTTATCAATTCACTTTTGTTTCTCTTTCAATTCTATTTTATGAAATTGTATTTGCTTAATCTATTATTTCATGGAATGTCTTGATTAAATTCGTACGATTGTATTCCTAATCTTTAATCGTTGTTTACGTCGCTTAGTCGTTAAATCGTGTTCTATATCGTGTTTGCTTAATTCACGATTATATTAATCCGTTTACTTAATTCAGAATGAGAATTCAATCTACTTTATATCTATTGCACTTGTCAATTGGTATTGAAATCGAATAGAGGTAGAAGCCGCTTAGGGAATTGATAAGGTAAAAACCAATGATTAGTAGGAACCTGAAAACAGTAGATCGACTTATTTTTATAATCACCTATTTTAATCACTTATTGCGTGTTATGAATCGATCCTAAAACCAACCCCCATTCGATTTCTATTAGTTAATAATAAAATCAAGAATCCTTGCAATACAACTCGAGCCATTGTCGCTATACTGCATTTTACAAAATACTCGTTTTTGATCCGTGTGCGACAGCGGATCAGAAGTCAACATAGGAAGTTGGGTGAAAGATAGGAAAGGGAGTAGTAGAAAATGAAAATAAGAAAATTAAGGAGAAGAAAAAGGAGAGTGGAGAAACAACAACAAGTGTGAAAGAAAAATATAATACGAAAGAAGTTATACATTATTCTAAGTTTTAGTACCCTCACATGAATAAGAAAGAAGAAAAAGAGGGACAATTTAAGAAATTTGTCGAGATGTTTACAAATTTGTAGGAAAACATACATTTTGTTGTAGTCTTGGAACAAATGTAAATTTAAGAAGAATTTGTTGACAAGAAAACAAAAACTATTCGACAATGACAATATGGCGTTATCAAAATAACGTAGTGTTATCGTACAAATAAAGTTTTCACCAAAACTCAAAGATTTGGGTATTTTTACTATTCCTTCTGCAATTGAGAAGTTAAATGTGGAAAAAAACACTATCTGATTTAGGAGCAAGTATCAATTTAATGTCGCTTTCATTAATGAAGAAGTTAGATTGTACGAATATCAAACCTACAAAAATTACATTGACCCTAGATGACAAATTTGGTGTCTTAAAAATGTCAATTTCAAATTACATTAGAAAATTAACATTTTTTGGAGCATCTATTAAATGTAAAATTTAGGGATTTGAGTTTGAAGTAAAAAGACACATTCGAAGAAAATAAAATAGATTTCCATTCAAACAAGTAGACATCTTCCAAAGCAACATGCCATCAGAATTCGAAGACGATGTCCTTGTGTTCTGAAGTGAATGAAAGGAGTTACAAGTTCTAAAAGAAGTTATCACATGGAGTTCAAAAGAAAGCTTGCGCAAGAAATTTTTCACTTGCTTAAGAGTAGTTAAGGCCCACTTTACGCTCATGCAATATAGAAGTTAGACTTCAATTTTCTATAATTACACACATTATCTCCATGTGAAGGAAGTTCATTTTCCATTCTAAAATTCACTTAAAAAGTTACACCTTCCTATTCGTATTCACACAAAAGAGTAAAAGTAATAGACTTAAATAATATGTTTGTGTTTTTAGTTTTAATCTATAATTTTTATTTTATTTTAAATAGTTTCTTATTGTTAAATTTTTTTGTTTTAGTTTTAAAGTTAAAATCGGCAAAAAAAAACCAATCAATTATAAATTTATGGAAGAATTTACACGAAAATCTAAAGGAAATCTGCAGTTTTTCTTGCAGATTTTATATTTAAAGACTAAAATAAAAAATAATTAACATTCATAAACTATTTTTAAAAAAAAATCCAAATTAATAATTAAAAACAAAAACACACTAATTTATATAGATCAACATATCATTTAAGCGAAAGTAATAATAACTTGCTAGAAACACTAGTCATAATTTATACCATTAAATCATCTACTAAAAACCTCAATAAAATCTAAGTTGAATTCTAAATTGATCAATTTGTTAAAGTGATATGGTTTATCGTCAATTTTGTAAATTTCAAAGTTCAAAAGTAAAATCAAAATTAGAGATATGAGTATTAAAACGATAATCTAAACTAAATTAAACAAAAAAATCAATTGTTTATGGTTCGGTTTTAAAATTAAATTGAATCAATAAAAATTAATGTGGTTTGATTCGGTTCTCGATTTTACTTTTTAAGAATTGTCAAATCGATAAATCGAATCATTAGCTATAATTACTCTCTAAATATTTAATTTCATCCATCATTAAACTCAACTTTTGTATTGATCCAATTATTCTCTGTCTTTGTTTATGCTCCCTTCCTTTAAGCAAAACATGCATCTAGAATCAAACTCTAATACATAGGAAGTAGAAATTATAAGTCACAAAAACTTATTTTTACCGAACTACTGCTCTCACCGCCTGACACTAATGTTTCTCTATCTATCGTCGTTCTGATATGTTACAGTCGTATTTTTCGTGTTCAAATTCTTTTAATTTTTTTTTTATCTTTTTTTTTTCTTCTTCAACAAAATTTGTTTTAGTTTTATTACAAAATAGTTTTGATATGTGTTGGAAGTGCGAAACATGTTAATTTAATTTTATTGAAAATTTTTGTTATTATTGTTGTGTTTTATCTGTTAACTTTTATACTCTCTCTGTCCCTAAATAAGTGTCACATTAAAAAAAAATTGTCTCAGAATACTTGTCACTTTAGATTATCAATGCAATTTTATATTTAATCTTTCAATTGTATCCTCTAATAAATACTCTTAATTTATTATTTTCTCACTTAACACTAATGTTAATTTGAACATGTTAATCAAGATAATTTGGTAAAGTCACTATTCTCTCTTTCATTTATTACTATTTCTTAATCTCTGTGAAATGATCAATTACGATAAATAATATGGGACGAAGAAAGTATTTGATAGTGAACTCATTTTCTGGTGCAATGAAAGCCATGTCACTATTTTGTATGAATTAAGAACAACTTGTAATTTGTTTGAAAATAAAGTATGAAATAAATTACACGAAATGAGTTATTTTAAAAAATAATAGTATAAAATACACTAACAAACACGATAATGTAGAATACAATGATGAATATAATATTTAGAAAAAATATTATAAGCCGATCAACTGAACCAAACCAAACCGAACCAAATTTTTTAGTTTGGCTTGAATTCATTTTTAAAAAATACTAAAAATCAAACCTAACCAAACTGAGATATCATCAGTTTAAACTTTTTTTTTATCAAAAACCAGTTCAAATCAAACCGATTACACCATAATTAAAATATAGTAAATTCCTAATAAATCAATACCATCAAAATTGATAACTCTTATACATTATAGTTTTTAAGAAAATAACAAAAACATAATAATACATCATAATTTATAGTTGATAAATTATTTTTAAGAAAAAACATAAATATAGTAATACATCATAATTTATAGTTGATAAATTCCCACAATCAAAAGATCTTACTATGCTCATCTATAGTTTCATAACAACCAAAATATCAAACACATAAAAAAAATATAATGAAATTAATCTTCTATAATCTCCACCTCCTTATTTTTATAGTTTTCCTTTTCCTCAACACTCATAAAAGAAGTAACATGAAAAGACTTACCAATCCCCAAAGGAGTTTTAAAATACATCTTCTCTCCATTAAAACCATCAACACTCATTTCACTTATAGGCACCCAAACAAACATTTGCTTACTCTTAATTCCACTCATTTTCTTCATCTTGAATTTCTCCACATAAGCAGTGACTTCAATTCCATAGCTCACAAGAGTCTTTGTCCCTTCGAAGTAATGTTCACTTGGTGCCTTTTGTTTCATCCACACAAAACCACTTTCTCTAACTCTTCCACATTCTACAAGATCCTTTAAGGGGAGAACACCTTTTGGAAATCCCAGCTCTTCCAAGAGTTGGATGGAATGGTTGTAGCAGTTTTCTGAACCGTGTACTATCTCTGCGCGGGAACGCTCGTTTACCACCATTTTGCTGTTGCTAGCCATTGGAATGGATGAAATGTATTATTGTTAACTAGTGAGTATGATATAATATGTTTAAATATAGGTTTTAGAAATGAAGGATGGTTTGCTGGTTGAATTGGAAGTTGAGCTGAATTTGCATGTTTGTTTGTGGTTGTTCAACCAATTTTTACTAACATTTTGTGCCATTGTTGTTAGTTGGTGAGCTATATAGTATGTTTTTCATAACAAATGTAGCACTGGGATTTGCTGCAGTCACACAATATCTGCCGCCACGCACTCAAACTTTCATCACCGTTTGATTAAGATCAAATGCTTTTGACTTAAAATAAGTATTTCATTTTATTATTAGGCTTAAATGCAGTTTTGACCCCCCTAGTTTAAGGTTTTTGGAGTTTCGATCCCCCTAGTTTAAAAGCCAGGTTTCTAGTCCCCATAGTTTTCAAATTTGGGATTTTTGAAGCCCCCTCCATCTGGCTGCCCAAAAAGTTTTCAAATTTGGGATTTTTGAAATCTCGTACGGGCGGATGGAAGAGGAAATTAGGTTAAGCAATTTGGGATTTTCAGAAAATATGAATTATGAAATTAAAAATTCATTTGGAAATTAATATCACTTATTTAAATGTTTAAAAAATATTATTCTAAATAAGAAATAAGAAAATAATACGTGGCATTACTCTCCTTGTGCCATGTCACATGGAGGGGGCTTCAAAAATCCCAAATTTGAAAACTTTTTGGGCAGCTAGATGGAGGGGGCTTCAAAAATCCCAAATTTGAAAACTATGGGGACTAGAAACCTGGCTTTTAAACTAGGGGGATCGAAACTCCAAAAACCTTAAACTAGGGGGGCCAAAACTGCATTTAAGCCTTATTATTATATAAAAAGTTTTAAACCGTATATGATTAAGATCCAACGGTTATTAATAGAGTGACTGTGAATGTGAATGCATCAAAAAGTTTCCTGCAAAGAATCCATTTTCACACACTTATGAATGTATGATATCATCTATCTAGCTGCAAATTTAATTTATATCTATACTATTAAGTTATTAGTTATATGAAATATATAATAGAGAATAAGTTTAATGTGACTTTTACTTTCTAATTTTACTCTTTATATAAATTGTTTTCTTATAATTGTTTAAGGGTCGGAAATGGGTTGAGTCAAATTCGTTTCAATTCACTTCGACTCGTTAAGAATTAGTCGAGTTTGAATTCGGATTTATTATGAACTTTTACATAAGTCCACTTACGATTGTTTAACATAGTGTTAAATTTGTCCCGATTCGAAAAATGATCATTTGTGACTTAAACTTATGTTTGTAAGCCCAAATATGTTTAATTTAAAACTTTTGATCCAATATTGTTAGGAGGCTTTGATCTTATCAATCCTCTAATGAACTTTGGTCTAAGTGAATCATTTAAGCATCATTGATCATATATGCTTGCATCGAGTACTTGAAATGAATGATATACTTGGAAAAAACAAATGAAACTTGTTGTTGAGAAGTTTTGATTTTATCAATCTTCTAATAAATTTTCAAATGCAAGTTTCAAGATTGTCATTCAACTAACCCCTAACTTCTAATTCATTAACAATTGACTTTACTTTGTGCTTTTACTTTATGCCTTTTATTTTTATGCTTTTACTTTTATGCACCATTTACTTTAGCATTTACATTTCATGTTATTTTCATCTTTGCTCACTTGAGCATTTATCTTTATGTCATTTTATCTTTGCTCATTAAAGCATTTATCTTTATGTCCTTTTATTTTGCTCACTTGAGCTTTCTTTTCTTTTTAAAGACACTAAATAACCAACTTGAACATTAAAAAGCTTTAAGGTTAATTGGACTATTTGGTTACTATCCTTGGTATAATGGAGTTATGGACCTCTTGGACTTAGATTAGAAGCCTTTATTACCCTTGGGACCTTATGATTCTGTTGTTATTTTCTCTGAAGTTCTTGGGGTTTACTCCAAGGCATTGGGTTGATTTTCTTTGTGTGCGGGTTATTTTGTTTAAGAGGTTGATTTTCTTTTTCAAGCTTCGACTTAGTGGGACTTTTTGTCTCTTTCTTTTTCATCATTATTCTTTTTATTCATATTACCTTTTTCTTTTTTCTTTTTGAACATGTCGCGTGACTTCGAGTCATTTATGACTTGATGGAATAATTATGACCGCCTGAGTCTTTTGGTGGATGGGGGATAACTGTTGTTGTATCGTCATTCGCTGATCTCTTGATGTGTGAGAGATACCCATTGGGATATCGTTTTCTTTTGATGCACATTACTGATATGCAAAGATTAAACATTGTGTTTTTGAATTTCCTCAACCTCTTGAAGGATAACCATTATTGTATCCTTAGATGCGCACTCTTGATGAGATTTGAATACTCAATCAGATTAACTGAACACTACCCTGCCCCGGGTTAAAAATGAGGGTTTTTTCTGAATAGAAAAATAAACTCCTATTTCAAGATTCAAAGGGGTTAACAAGGGTTTCACTCCCTTATAACTCCGGTGTTTGAGGATCTGAAACAATGCATGTACATCGTCAACAGGGTTTTGTCCAAAAGCATACAACCGAAAAATTTGTGTTTTAATATCATCATCCTCCCTCCAATATCTGCCTAGGTAAGAGAATGGGTAACAAGTTGGTATCATAATGCAAAAATCAATTTAAATTTGAAAACAAATTCGATTGAAACGAATGGGTTTCTTCGAGACGAATATATTCGTTGTATTAAGATAATCATTCAAATGCAAACAAGTTCTTACATGCAAACATTGCAATGATAAACAAGAAAAATTACAAATGAGAAAGCAATGAAAAATGCTAATAAACAGGGAAGGCTAATCATCCTTAAACTTTAGAGTATTCTTCAATCATGTTTATTCTTCGGCAAAGACTTAACTTGAACCTCAAGACAAATATCCTTAAATAACAAGATACCCCTTTTGACCATTTTCTGGACTTCAGATTTTAATGGAAAACAATGTTCGATACTATGCCCAGGGGCTCTCTGAAGAAAGGCACATGATAAATCAGCTTTGTAGTACCAAGGCATCTTCTCAGGAATCTTCAGTGGAGATCGGGTCTGAACCAAATCTCTTTGTATCAGGACAGGATACAACTTTGTATAGGTTGTTGAAAAGGGATCAAACTGAGTTTTCCTCTGATCATGGACTTGCTGATTTTATTGACAAACTGAAAACAGGAGCTAAGTTGAATACATGGATGACAGGAGAAACATGCTGATTCTGACGATAACTGTTTCTTCCTCTGGTTCTATTCTTGGAAAAGCTTTTATCAAACTTCTTCACACTACTAGCCGAGTCACCATCTTCAGATGAACATCTCTTTTGGACATCCTCTTCTAGAAGCACTCCCACAATCACTTTTTCAGGGAAATTCCGCGTAGACTATCACCTTCTTATGAAAGAATGATTTCAGAATTTCCATGAAGACCTTTGTCATCTCTTCTTCCTTCCCAGAAGTATTGACTTGGACAACAACCAAAGTTTTAACCAAAACAGTCAGACGTTCCATACCAGGCTTCAAAGTAGTTATCTCTTTACGGAGTTCAAAGATTTTTTGCTTAATATTTTCCATCTTCTCTTAGCACGAGTGTTGCACTGACGCGATAACTTGACTTCTGAAGATGAAGAGCAGAAGATAAGACTTAGGGAAACTCCTGAAACCAAGACAGAAGTTAGAATGATGTATGTTATGCAATGAAAATGATTGTTTAAAAGTTTTTTTAAAAAAAACCAAGTTTTCGAAGAACTTTGGAACATTATAAACAAATTGCAGACATCAATTAAAAGACACAATTGGCATAACTGGAAAAAAAACTCATTTCATTAAATACTGAAAGGATTACATCTGAAGTACAAAACTTCACTAATGCTATACAGAAGAAAGAGAAATATAAATCCTCAGGTTCACATGAACTACATCCAAAGAATATCCAACATCGTGTTGTAACATCTTCTTGAGCTTGAATTTGGAATGCTATAGGAAAATAAATCCTCTTGCACTCTTCACTGCTACTTTGCTGATAATCGGGAAAATAAATCACTGACACAAATAATTGAGGAACTAGATCAAAGGTGTGGAGATATTCATCTTCAAGATAACTAGGAGAAATCCATCTTTAAGACAACTAGAAGAACCTGAAATCCCGAGGACTAGATACCAAGGATTCATGCTTTCTCGGTTCTTCTGAATCAGGACTCTTGACACTATACTTCTGAGTACTCTTTCCAAAATCCATATTTACAAAAAATTATGATGTTTGCAAACAGAAGTCTTAAGTTCCTTGGAAATTTGGTTAAAACAATGCTCATGGGTGCATGGATGCATGATGTAACAATCACACATAAGATTAAAAATATATGGTTCATAGGTTTGACGTCACGAGCATCAGGTCAATGGTACTACCCATAAGGTATGGTCTAAAAGTTTATCACCTGTCGAACAAGGTTCTAAGAGGTTCCCAGAGTCTACATCTTTCTTTCGGATATTACCAACGTCCCGATAGACTCAGTAATTAGCAATATTCTCAATAAAAACTCATCTGAGCGTAGTATCGCGTGACAACCATTTCCAGATTACTCCGTCATAGCTTCCGCACTACACCTAAAAGGCCAAGATGGGTTAAAGGTTCTACGGTCCTCAGTTTCAGCAGGCTCCCAGGTTGAAAGCAGCACGTCTTCTCGATTACTCGGTAAACGACACTATAGTCAAAGGGGCATCCACTGAGTGAGGGGATCTCATGTCTCGTTTTTTGGGATTACTCCCTCAAAGTTAACATGACTATACCGCTCATCCTATCTTAAGTTTTCCCAAGTCCGGGTATAGGACTCATGAGAAATCACAAGCACCTTGAAAACCAGAAATATCCAAACAAACATATATACATCACATAATATACAACAAATAATAGCACATACACAAATAAACAAAGATAGGCTCAACCCACTTAGGGATGGACCAGCAATAGGTCAATCTCTCCCCAG